ATAAGATTTTAGTTACTTGTTGGACTATGTGCTCATTACGTGGTTTTACATATTTTCAAAAAAGCGTAAGAGTAAAGTGTAAGATTCTAGAGTGTGATAACAACGTTATTAATCATGATACTAATATTATTACTGGCATTATTACTATTGATTGTTAATGATATTATGACTGATAATATAATGGATTGAGATGTGATGAACTAAAAGAATAAATTAAAATTATGTACAAATTTATACATGCTATAAAAATAAATAAATAAAAGAATAAATTGATACAGATAATAAATATAGACATTGATGAATATATTTCTTTATATGATTTATAGCATGTTATTCTCTTTTATCTTGTATTAATTTAAATTGTAAGATTTTAGTTATTTGTTGGGCTATGTGCTCATTATATGGTTTTACATGTTTTTAGAAAAGCGTAAAAGTAAAGTGTAAGATTCTAGAGTGTGACAACAACTGTTGGCAATGATTAGAAATAAGTATTCAAAATGAATGTTTTTTTAGTAGAAGTGAATGAAAATGAGTTATTATTTTTTAAACTCACTTTCATAGAAAATGTTGAATTTATTGTTGGGGATGAAGAGGAGTAAACACCACAATAACAAAACAAACAAGAAAGTAAAGGCAGCGGAAAAATAAAGGACACCAATATTAACATGAAAAAACCCAAAATAGGGAAAAAACTATGGAGCCACATCACATCAAGAAATCCACTATGAAAATTGGGAGAAAAAGTACATATCTCTCTTCTCTCTCTCTCCTTCTCTTCTCACCTATACCGTTCTCAATGTCTAACACACTAAAAGTACAAGAGAAAGTCAAGTAAATAATCCCAAGGGATGGAAACCTTCAGAAAAACGAGAAAGAAAACCGTCTAGTCTATCTCGTAGCACTGCGACACCAATTTGGGGCGTTGTGATGCTCAAACCTCAATCTTGATCCCCTGGGGCGCCGTATCTAGACCGTTGCCGTGCTCCGCTCTCTGTCACTCGGCGTCGAGTGCTCGGGTACTTAGTGCCGGGGCGTTGTATGAAGAAAATTTTTTCTTTAGTTGCAAAGCATCCGAATCCAAGCAAGGGGTAAACCACCTGCATCCCCAGTAAGTACAACAAACTTGAGATCCGAGGCAACTGAACAACCTGATTAATCAACACGATCAGATTCCACACATAACATTTATTAGTTTTCATCGTTTTAGTAAGATAAGCTTGGAAATCATTATTACTAATTTAAAACTCTACAAAGCCTTCACATTCTAGTAAATATAATAATTTCATTTTCATATAAAATAAGTAAAAATAAAATCATCTTTTTTCTAAATATATTTTCTATCTACTAGCAATCAAATGAGCCCTAAATGCAATCATTTCATCCTTTATCCTCCCTACTTACGGCTATTCATGATAAGGACATCCGACCATGAAAAGTTTATCAAATGAGCCAAAGATCTACGGGTCATGATTGGACCACTTTATTTTTGAGTTATTATATTTTATGTTTTTACCCTCACTTAAGGGAGTTGGCTTATGTGACCCCAGGGGGCACTTTTGTCATTTGATTTGTTATTGTATTTTGGCTATTTATAGCCCCCTCTTCTTTTTAAGGGTTGATGAGTATTATGGAAAAAAAATTCTACACATTTTGTTTGAGAGCTTGAGAGTTCTTGTGAGAGTTGAAGTCTCTAGGTGAGGGCAACGTATAACCCATCAGTCGCAGGAAGCGTCTGGGCTCATGGTTCATCTCCTCCACCAACTTCTTCTCTCTCTTTCTCCTAGTCACCACCCATCCTCCTATCTTTTTCCTTGGCTGAAATTCCCTGCCCAAACCCTAGGCCGACCCCCACCTTCCCCCCTTCCTTCCTTGGCCGAACTCCATCCCAAACCCTAGGCTGATCCCATCCAATCGCCAGCCCCACTTCTCTTCCCTAAGCCTCCGGCTCCATCAACCCTCTCCTTGGATCCAAATTCATCCGAGCATTTACTACTTTCCTAAATTATCTCATTGTAAATTTGGAAGGTCAATTAATTCAAATTTGAATTTATTTGAATTTGAAATTTTTTCTTTAAATAGGATGAGTTATTTTAGGAAAGTTCCTCCAATCAAGGCCATTTAAATTTGAATTTAAATTAGAGAGATAATTGCATTAAAGTCTCTTTCTTAATTTAAATTGGCTTAGATTGGCAACCCATGTAAGTTCCTTAATTCCCTCAAATCTTCATTAAAGCATTTGGGCCCTTTACCTTCCCCTCTTTGTTGCCCCCCGCCTCTCTCTCTCTCTCTCTCATCTATTAGGTCCATTAAAGCTCCCCAATCAATCCATCAATTCCCCATCTAATTGCCCCCCCTCCTTTATTTGTGGGAAATTCAAATTCAAATTTCCCAATTATCTCCAGAAATTAAAGATGGAATTAAATTTTAGATTTTGAATTTGCTTACCTTCCTTAATCAACACATAAAACCTGGAATTAATTTCCCCTCTCCCTCCTCTAAGGCTGGCCACTTAGCTCGATAAAGCTCCCTCCTCTAAGGCTGGCCACTTAGCTCGATGAGGAATTTTGAATAATGATGCCTCATGTTATTTAGATTTAGCAGCTTCTATTCTGGTTTGAAACATAATTTTATTTCTTCTAAACAAACATTATTCAAATGCTCGGTGTAATCGTTTGTTAGGAAGCTCGATAAAGCTCATTTGTTAAGTTAATGAACATCTAAAAGTAGAGCTCGTTTATAGCTCGTTCATGTTTGTTTGTTTAAAGCTCGATAAACACTAAACGAACGAACATGAACTGAACATGAACCGAACATGAACACTCATTAATTTAAATGAACCAAACATGAACACGAACAATAAAGCTCGAATAAACATGAACCAAACTTGAACAAGCTGATATTAAATGAACACAAACATGAACATACCCCTTGTATAGATCTATAAATAGGGTGTAGATTGCTTAATAAAATTCAAGCTTTTCCCTCTCAAATCCTTGTTTTAACATATTGATAATACTAGAGAGGGAGTTAAATGTAAACTTGAATTATGGAGGTCAGCATTAGGGTCTAAAGGTTTTCGTTTGAGTAGATCTAAAACTTAATATATGGAGTATAATTTTAGTAGTAATAAATCTAGTGGGGGACTGTGACTTTAGGAAATCAAGTTATTAAGAGTACACGTTTTAGATATCTTGGGTCTATTGTTCAGAGTGATGGTGAAATATATGGGGATATTATTAGTAGAATTCAAGTTGGATGGTTAAAGTGGAGGAATGCATTGGGCCTGTTGTGTGATAGAAAAGTTTGCCTCAAATTTAAGGGAAAATTTTATAAGATGGTGGCAAGACCTGTAATGTTTTATGGTGCAGAATGTTGGGTATTAAAAGAGAACCATAATATTAAGTGTTTCAGAGATGAGGATGCTCAGGTGAATGAGTGGCTTTACTCTTAGAGATTGGATATGAAATGAGCATATACGTGAAAAGTTTGAAGTAGCTCTAATAAAAGATAATATTAGAGAGAGTCACCTTAGATGGTTTGGTCACATAAAACGATAGCCTTCCCGATGACCTGGTTAAGAAAGTAGATGTATTAGATTTGGCTTAAGTTAAGAAAGGTAGAGATAGATCTAAAAAGACTTGGTTAAAAAAAAATAGAAATGACCTTACTTTATTTGATTTAAATGGGAATTTGGCTCTTAACATGACGCAATGGAGAAAAATGATTTATGTAGCCGACCACACAGTGGGATAAAGGCTTGATGTTGTTGTTGTATTAATACCTATTCGGATCCATTTATTTTGTTGCAATTGTTGGCAACGATTGGAAATAAGTATTCAAATTGAATGTTTTATTTGGTAGAAAGTGAATGAAAATGAGTTATTATTTTTGAAACTCACTTTCATAAAAGATGTTGAATTTATTGTTGGAGATGAGGAGTAAACACCACAATGACGAAATAAACAAGAAAGTAAAAACAGCGGAAAAATAAATGACACCAAGATTTAACGTAGAAAAACTCAAATAGGGAAAAAACAACGGAGCCACACCACATCAAGAAATCCATTATGAAAATTGAGAGAAAAAAGTACATATCTCTCTTCTCTCTCTCTCTCTCTCTCTCTCTCTCTCTCTCTCTCTCTCTCTCTCCTTGCTTATCTTCTCACTTGCATCGTTCTTAATGTCTAACACACTCAAAATATAATAGAAAGTCAAGTAAATAATCCCAAGGGATGGAAACCTTCAGAAAAACGAGAAGGAAAATCGTCTAGTTTGTCTCGCAGCACTGCGACACTAATTTGGTGTGTTGCGGTGCTCAAACCTCTGTCTTGATCCGTTGGGGCGCAGTATTTAGACCGCTGCGCTCGGGTATGCAACGTCGGGGCATTGTACGAAGAAACAATTTTTCCTGGTTGCAAAGCACCCAAATCCAAGTGTGGGGTAAACCCGCACCCCCAGTAAGCACAACAAACTTGAGGTTTGAGGCAACAGAACAATCCGATTGATCAAGACAATCAAATTCCACACATAACATTTATTAGTTTTCATCATTTAGTAAGATGTACTTGGAAATCATTATTACTAATTTAAAACTCTACAAAGCCTTCAAATTCTGGTAAATATAATAACTGTATTTTTCACATGAAATAACTAAAAATAATAATCTTTTTCTAAATATATTTTCTATCTACAAACAATCAAATGAGCCCTAAATGCAATCATTTCATCCTTTATCCTCCCTACTACTGGCTATTCATCTGAACATTTTTATCTCCGCCACACTTATTTGTTTGGACTTGAGCCAGTCTTATTAATGTTTTGCAGAGTAAGTGTTCCATATTGGCAACTTTTAGTCATTTATGTGTTGGGATGTTATGATTCCAGGAGTTTGAGGTCAAGTGATCAACTTTAGTTTGTGTGCTCTTCTTAAATCCTGCATATGCTCTATTGCTTCTCCATTGAAATTTCTTAAATTTTATCATTGTAATTTCTGTGAACAGGAGTTGGAGAGAGCATTTACCTACTGGGGAACACCTGAGGGTGACATTTTACATCCTGTTGAATGCATGCACCATTTACTTGAACAAGTTCGTCGCTATAGAGTGAACGTTGATGGTAGTGTTTGCACTGTGTTGGTGACCATATTGGTCCTCGAGGTAATTTATAGTTACTTTCATATCATATGCACATATTCACTGTTATGTAGATATGCTTATCAATCATCACGCCTTACAGAGATGGAAAAGTAGTTTCCTACATTCAATATTGATTTTAGACTATGGAAATACTTGTAAAATCAAATGTGATTATTCTATTTTCACGCGCATTGTGAAAATGAAATCATTATTTTTGAAAAGCAAGTTTTGTATTTTCAAGCAACCAAATGAGCCCCAGGGATCAATCAGGGTCCATTTGATTGCTTGATTTTAAAACATGAATTAGGAAATAGTGAGATGTGTTATATTCATCCTCTGATTGTATATTTTGAAATCAAAATTGACTTTAAAGTTCTTATTTAAACCTGCATAAGATGTAATTAGTTCATGTTTACGTATAAAATGACTTAAAATTTATATATTTAAATATATTTCCATTTACAAGCAACTGTATGGGTGCCTAGCTGCATTATGTTCAAAATATTGAGTTAAAAATTTCTCCACATTCCTTCTATGATTATAGGCACTAAGTGCTCATCAACTATTCTCTTTGGATATTTGTATATGAAAATTTGATTTTATATGTCTCATAATAGTGAAAATTGAAGAAATATGCATGTTATTTACTTTCTTACAGAAATATACCCAAAAGTTCATTTCAAATCTAAATATATCCATTTTGACCTATATCCCAGTGTATCGAAAAAATGGTGTCCCATGGTTTTAAACTTCGGCTTACATCGTTGTGGTCATCATACCTTTGTTTGTGGTTTCTTTGCTTGGGAGAGAATGTATCTGCTAAGTTGGATATTTCAATGTTCATCGGTGACTTTAACACCCATTGTTACTTTTTTTTTTAATTTCCATCATATATTGTAGAATATATCAGTTTGAAGAAGATCTAATGCAGAGCTAGATAGAATATTAGATAGTGTGTTTTGATAGACATATGTGCAAATTATATTCACACCTTGTTCAAACCATGATTGGATGTTATTGGAGAGTATCAAAGACTATATTTCTTGATTGTTACTCAAATCATGATCAAACCTTGTTCAATCAAGGATGAACATAGTTTGTGCAAGTATTTTAACAATATTGTCAGAATATAGTAAGATTATGTTGTCAAGCCTGTTTCGATTATGGATCAAACAATGCTTGAATATTTTTCTTAACTTAGTTTGATCAATATTCAAACATATTCGAATCATATTTGAATGTGATTCGATTCATGGTCAAACCTTGTTCGAATGATGATAAAATGAAATATTGACTAATTATTTTCTAATGATAAATCAAATTTCAAAATTTTTGTACTATATTGAGGGTGGAAAGAAAATAGGTAAGTTAGTTGAATAGTTGGACATTTACCAAAGAACAGGGAAAATGATTGATCGTATAAAGAAGTATTTCTTTTGAAGATCTCATATATCTTACATACAAAGTGACAAAGGTCGATAAGAACTAATTTAGTCTAAAACTATAGGTGATATACCCACTTTGGTAGAGTACAGTCAAGAATTTCAATTCATCCAACTGAGTTGCTTATAGATTATGATTTTCCCACCCTTTTTCTTGAATGAGATATTATTATCCATTCGTTATCAATCTCTTCTATGTGTTTTTCGCTCATAAGAAGATTTCAATTGCAATTTTTAGTGCAAATGTGGATGCTGCAGGATTAGCAATTCACCATCTTTCGTTTGTGTATTTGATGATGTAAAAATGACACATATTGAATTAGGTGATAATGGACATAGAACATGCACCACTAGTGGTATTATGGCATATAGGTTGTAGATGATAGTGGTTTTATGGATACTTTCATACTAAAGCATCTATTGGAGATTACAATACTAATTTATGATTAATCTAAAACCAAAAAATTGATGAGGTATTTTGATTCTTCATGTATTTTGGGGATAAAAGCAACAATACAAGTCATGAATAATACATGAATAACACCCATCTTAGAAGAGATTGTGCCTGAAAGTACCCCAATTTTTAATTGTTGCTAATATAATGTCATTAAGCTTGAGCTTGTCCTATACTCAATTGCAAGTTGGACAGCTCTTTGAGAGTAAAGAGAAGTTGATATGAATATTATATATCCAAAAAAAAAAACTTATAATTTAAGGTGAAGAAAATCAGGTAAAGAAGTATGGCTTATTGGACATATTATGACAAGTAAGTTTGTTGCATCTTATCTTAAAATGAAGCTAAAGACAATCATAACATGGATTATATTATTAACTTGTCCGATGAGAAGGCTAGGCTATATTGTGAGTAGGTTATCACTTATATAAGAGGTGGTTCTTTGAAATATTCTTTTATAAATTAACATCTTATCTAGTCATGCTATGTAGGACATGTTAAAGGAGAATTTTTTATCTTAAACAATGATGGACATTTTAAGTATGTATATTTATGTTTAGGTGTTTGTTTTCAAGTTTTTAAAAGTGTATGTTGCTTAGTGTTAAATGTGAATGAGATATTTTTAAATACACATTCTTGAGGTACTTTGCTTGTAACAACAATGATGCAATATGTCAATACTCAAATTTATCTAGTGACATTTGCACTAGTTGACTCAAAAAATAATGAGTCATAGATGTGTTTCGTGTTTAAAGTTGAGGGAGTCAATGCTTTGCCAACCTTTATTTCAGAGGCACGTCATAGAGCTTGTACTCATTATTTCGCAATGAATGAGAAAATGATCAAAATGGTCCATTGACTCTTTGTGAATGATCAAAATGAGCATCAACTATATTAAATGATTATTTTGATTCTCAAGTCTTGAAAAGGAAATCAAAATAATCTCATAGTGAGACTATTATGTTGCAACATGGCATAAAACACCTTTTCATCGTATGCAGAATGTAATATTGATTTTTATTAATTTTGTTCTTGCGAAACTCAGGGTTGGCAACGCAAGCTTGATCCAGATTACGACATAATGCACACGCTCAAGACATTGCTGGTGAACACAGACGGGGTGCAGCAGCCTATCGATTACTTCTTCTCATAAAAGAACTTTTGACACAATCTGTAATTCTGTATTTTTTTATATGAATAGATTCAAATTTAATAATAATATAAAACATATTAATGCGATTCTTTTTATTTTGATTGTTTTGTATAGATATTGCAATATGTTTTTTGCATAAAATTATAGGCTGATATAGGGAATAAATGCAGATTATTCTGTGTGAGAGAAGGGCGAGTTATTGCCATCTAATAGGTCTTCTGTTAGAGAAATTATTCTGTGTGGACTTCGAATGCAGCTCTATATTCGGAGGCTAATCAGAATGAGCTACGTCAACAATACTAAGCATGATACAGAGCCACAGTATCGATGTGGTTCATTCTAGTAGGTTTCTAGATAACGTTCAGCGTCTGCATGGAAGAATTTCACTCTTCACTCTTCTCTCTTCTGATGTGATTGGAATAACTAGAGTCTAGCAATTCGGTTTACATTTGTGAACATGCGATGTATTAGTGTTCATCATAAATACTACTTTTTTTAAATAATTTACATTTTTTGTACTTCAAATAAAGCGAAAATATGTGATTATAAAACTTGAAAGTATTATTTGTTTTTCTTGCAGCGACGTTTTGAATGTCAGGTAATGTATTTTCTTTCGAAAGGTTCTCTTAAGTCCTCTATTGTACTTTATAAAGATCGCCGCATCCTTCGGCACATACTCTCGTACAAAGCAATTATGCTTTACGTGCTGCTCACTTCAAAAATTCTACTACGGAAGATTTGCCCTTTGCACGATTTTGCCATACAGAACTGCTTATATTACATCAGATTATATCTATATATTATTTATAACTATTTTAAGATATTATATATTTTAATAGTATAAATATCTGTATGTCAGAGCTGATGAAATTAAATAAAATTGACATTTAGGCTTCGTTTGGGACGGCTTTTTTACTGCTTTCTAAAACGGAGTTTTAGTACAAATTGTTTTATTTTTGTACTAAAATTCCGTTTTAGAAAGCAATAAAAAAGCCGTCCCAATCAAAACTTTAGATTTTATTGATTAATATCATAAAGTTGACTAGGGGATTTTGGATTTTTTTGTAAGCTTGCATAATAGAAAATAATACTACTTTTAAGTGGATAATGGTATGTCTTGAGCAAGGTTGAACCACCCTGAAATGACATATCTACGAAGCGTACAACGAAACTTGTGGTGCCCCCCACACCAACAAAAAAAATAAAATAAAGCTGATTCTGCCCCTATTCTTGACTCTTAAGCATATTTGAATCCGAGTGAAATTTGTATAAATTCAAGATCAAACAAGTTGAAGATGCATACTCATTCAAGTTTGGCTAATTTACAATCCCATTTACACAGAAGAGGATGAGGATGCCTCTATGCAAGATTAGTCCGAATATTTTATGTTATAAGATGAAAAGAGTAGGTGTTAGAGGCAATTAAAAGTTAGTATAATTTCAAGGACCTTTAATTCAATCTTCAAATCTCATATAATCACGACACTTATGGTGCTAAGGTTTCTTTTTCACAGAAGATATTTAGGATCACAAGGATTTATTTGTAGATTTTGATTTTTGAAGATGCTATTAATTATATTTACAATTAAGAATAATTATTTTTCAAATTTAACTAAAAACGATTAATATTTTTTAGACACACTATTAGTAGTCATAATTATTCAAAGTTTTGCTAAGGATTTTATTTTTTATTAAAATCTTAAAAAATATGAAAAATTTAATATTCAATTTCATTAAAAAATAACTTTGCTGCTACAGCTCAAATTTATGATATGTACTTATTTGAGTAAGCTTCACTCACCAAAAAACTTAAAAACAAAGCTGAGATATAATTTTTTTAGGTGGCCATATTACCTATTTTGTAAGCAAAAATTATCATCAAATGTTCCCATTTTGTTCAACCATTTAGATAAAGTGGTCCATTTTTTGGTACATTTTTAAAGTAAATGTAACTGTGCATTTATTTATTTTTAGGTGTAATAGTACCCTTAATACTATTCAAGCTCATTTGCAGGAGCAATTATTACGTCCTCTGGCCTGACGTAGAGCTACGTTCGGCCGCCAATAACATGTCGCCACGTGCTCTTACTCTAAACCGCGTGGCCCGACGACTTGACCCGGAGCGGAACCCGGAAACCAAATAAAAGTTCCATTTGCAGAGGGAACTATCCGATCCAACTGGGTCAGATGCCTCTCCTGTTTGTGAACCTTTACGAAAGTCTTTTTGGTTTTGATTAGAAGTAATTGTGAAGTTATTAAGAAAAAATTAATTTAACATTATAATTTAAAAATAAATTTTAATTGCAGACATTTCTGGAAATAAAAATATTATTGTTATATTTTCTATGCAAATAATACACAAAACTTTTATGGTGAAAGAAATTTTTTAAAAGCTACTCTAGACAATAGCTTTTTAATATAAATTTTTTTTAAAAAAATAATTATCAAATAAAAATTATAAATATTATCTCAAAATTAAAATAATAAGAAAAATATCTCAAATGAGTCTTATAATGCTTATTTGGTTTATAACATTTAAAAAACCTCATAAATTTTTGGTGAACAGAATTTATTTTGTAAAATTTAGAATTTCAGTGATGGAGGAAGCTCATTGCAAGTTCATTCAAGAATTCATACAAGATTTTTTTGTAAACTTGCTGAACAATAACGCACAAAATAAAAATAAAAAAAAAAATGTCTAACTACCTTACTACATATTACAAGTTATTCTTAAACAAAATAAATTGAAAAAAAAATAAATCTAAGCTCTCGGGTCATCATGCATTCAAAGAGATATACATTTTGTGGCATTTTATTACTTCCAAAAAAGCAAAACTAATTTAACACATTAAAAGTAATGTGACAGAATAAATTGAAAAAAAAAAAAATGCAAAACTAACCTCAAAGCTCTCTCTCGGGTGAACAGAAAAGGGAGGAGAGGAAGATCAGGAAGCTGCGAAGAGGTGAATTGCTTTGACGGATGGTGCTCTAATTTATAAACATAAATTCCTTCTCATCTCCTCAACGCCCATCCGTCCCCAATAATTGCCTTATTTATTTCCGCAACCGTCCGCGGATTTCGCGGATCTCGTCTCCGCTGAAATCCAAACACCTCAATCAACTGACAGCCAGCTATTATCATGCGAAGAATGCGCCTAATAACTTGGCGCATTCTTTGAATGCGCGATACAGGTGCACGTATTCTTAGACTGCGCTTATCAGTTTGGCGAATTGGCTTTAAATTAAATATTTCCAAAAACCTGCTCTTTTCGCAAAATTATCGAACCTTCACGCTGCTTCCGAAAATTTCGCCATAAATTTTTGTAAAAAAAGAGGTGGGATGGGCTGTTAGGCAGGTTGATAAAATGAAAAAGAAGAAATGAAATAATAATAATAATAATAATAATAAAATACATTTAGGTTGTAAATTTTTTTGAAAATAACAAATTTAACACTACTTATGAACACTGTCAGTATTAAGAGGAGGCTGAGGTCCCATATAATCAACTTCAACAAGTTGAATTAAAGGCCTATTTGGTACAGCGCCAGCGTTTTCTAAAAATAATTTAGAAGCTATGTAAGAGAATAAATTTTTAAAAGCTATAAAGGAATTACAAATATTCTATTAAAAAAATCAAACATTTGCTTTCATAAATTAGTTAACACACATTAATAATTCTGTTTGTAAAAAATAAATTCCCATTATAAAAAAATTTTAAAATAGTAAGATTATTACGATAAAAAAGAACTCAATGAGAAAGCAAAGGTATTCTTCCAAATATATCCTAAATCTAATAATTAGTTGCATAATAAATATTTGCTAATTCTTAGATGTCTATCTAATCTCATAATTTCTAATTAGCTCAGGCAAATAAATTCTAATTAAATGATCTTTTTATCATTACATGAAAAAGCAGTCAGAATTACCTTTTTAAGCTCTCATAATTTAAACTTGCTTTTTAACTTTGAAGTCCACTCACTACTTGCTTTCCCCTTTAATTATATAATTTTATTTTTACACATTTCTGCATCGAAACTATCTGATCCTTACAACGTGCAAATAGGACCTATGATTTTTGTCATTATAGCACTCTTAACATGTAATCAACAAATTTCTAGCAATCATTAAATTTTTCAAAACAATCAGATTAAAGTATATCCCTAAACCCTAATGGTTGGGATTGACATTATTACGCTAAGGATATCTCCAACCGAATGTCATTTATCTTTTGCAGCTCCAACGAGCATCCATTCAATCGCAAATGAACAGAGGCAGAGAGAGGGGAGGCCTAGGAGTGCACGTGCACCAAATTAGAAAATCTCGCATCAGATGGTTCCCGCGAGCGATTTCCACAAAAAAAAAAACTCGAAACATCTTCATAGAGTATAAAAATCAACTGAAGCAATATTAAAGTTAGCCCCAGATGCTTCGAAGCCTTGGAGAAATTATTACGTCCGGACCGTCCGGATTGTGAAGTACACACTGTACAACATTGTACACAATGTACATCACAATTCGAACGTTCGGATTCGCACATAATAATCTCTCATAACTTTCCCACTAAAAATGAAAATACATCTTTGTATTTTATCTCTTATATCAATAGTGCCACTATTCACAAACCTATTTTTATTAGAAATAAATATAAAAATAAAGATGAGAAATAATATAAACATAATATTATTTTTTGGCGTTAAAAATCAGAAATTATTCTGTGCGGAGACCAGATGTAAAACTCCGTCCGAAAACCAATCAGAATGCGCCACGCCATATCAGTATAATCGAGCCGTGTTATAATGCTGCAGTACCAAGCAAAGAGGTGATGTGACACATCTCTGGATTGTATTTGATGTCAGCACATAATAATTAATATTTAAAAATTAAATTTGATTGAAGTTAGAATTACTATTTAACATGACCGTTATTAATTTTAAATGTGACAAATAGATTTTCATGTTGGAGATGTCATCAGACTAATCATCATAATGTTTCTGAAGTGCTCATATTAGGAATGGATCCACCGTCAAAAACCAAAAAAATGCAGCGAGAACGGTATCCATGACTCATGTACATCATCAGTAAGCGAAATGACTAAGAGAGACGCGTCCCTTACAGAGCAACTTGAACAGTGGCGCCGAGAGCCAAGATGGAATAAAGGAAAACCCAAGGGGCAGAACGGGAAACAGAAGAAAAAGAGCCGGCGGCCGCGCGCTGGACCTGGTTGGAGTCGACGGCGAGCGGCATGTTCTCTTGATCCGCGCTACATCCGTACGGAGGCGTCGGTGGGTGTGCGCTGTAGAGAATCGCCCTTAATACGGCTGAAACCGTCGGGATATAGGCCGTCTTATTCCTCCCCAGCAGCCAAGTAAGCCCCATCAGGCGGCAATCCCGGTCCATCATCCTCGCCGCCCTTTCCCCGCCGCCGACAAAGCCGCCGCCGCCCTTTAACTATCAACCAACGGAAAAAAAAAAACAAACAAAAACGAATGAGCAACGAATTTATTGCTTCCCCCGCCTTACAAATCCGTTAGCCATGCCATTAATGCAGAAAATATAGAATGGAAAGTTCTTTTTAAAAAGTACGCAAAATTAAACCTTCTGGAGGGAATTGAGGCAGCGAGTGCAGCCGGCGTAAGAGGCATTGCGGCAGTCGCGCTCCAAATCTCGGACGTCGCCGATGGGACTAACATCGCCTCCGCTCTCTCCCGAAGTCGAGAGGTTGAAAGCTGCGGAGCAAGACAACGAGCTGATTTCATGAAGATGGATGCCGCAGAAGCAAAGGGCGGCGTCGCAGGTAGTGTTAGGGCGGGGGAGGCTGATATTGCGGGCGTGGAGCGCGGTCTGGAGTGCATCGGCGCAGCGCTTCGAGTCAGTTTCCGGCATCATCGGTGAAGGGTCTTGGCCGACTGGCCCGGGCGACGCCGAGGGATGGAAACGGAGGGCGGAGCGGGCGTGGGCAGCGAAGAGCCAGGCTGCAAGGACAGGGCAGCAGCGGCTGCGGTCTATCTTGACTCCGCGGCCGCAGGCTTCTTCAACGCCGCCGAACATTTCAGCTGAGAGGTCGAGCTCGCAGGCGGCCGAGGTGTTGTGATTGCCGCCGGCGATAGGGAAAGCCGGGACGGTTGACGGTGCACCGTTAAAGTAGGAGGTTTGCTTCGCCGAGGCGGGTTCGGCGCGTAGCAGGAGGACGAAAGCGGCGACAATGAGTAGTCGCATCCTTTCTTCTGGGCTGTGGTGGTGATGAGGAGAAGATTCAGGAGATGTTCTCACAAACCGAGTCTCAGAAAAATAAAATAAAGGGCCGACAGGAAAACTGGAAAAACAAATGGGAAAGTGGCAATGATGGGGGAAAGTATACTTTATAAATTTAGATTATTATTATTATTTATTTCCAATCAAAAGAAAAATTTTTTCATTTAATTATTTAAGAAGATAACAAACATATTGAAATTTATTCTATTAGTTCATTTCAACATTTTTGTCGATATTTTTGAGTTTTAGTATTTTTTACATGCCATAAAATTGATGGTGATGGAATTATTTGTCTTATTGACAGAAGGTTTCATGCAAATAGAAATAAAGAGGGCTCACAATAGTTTTGAATAACTTTTACGTGAAAATTTATAGAAAGAAATCACAATGCTAGTATATTAGGTATATATTACTGTTGGATCTTGAGAGGAAGCTTGAGCTTCTTGATTAAGAGAGAGAGGTAGAGAGAGAGATGGGATTTTGGAGAAGATAATACTATAGTTTTATTGAATTTTTTCCAACCTTTACATCAACTTATGGGGTATAGCTGAATTAATTCCTAAAAATTACAAAATGATATCCTCCCCCTAATTTTAAAATGTTAGATTAAAAGTATTAAATTATTTTTCATAAATGAATTAATTAGCATAATATGCATAATGGAAGAACAATATTGATCATCAATGTAATGGTTATAACCAACAACATTCCGGTGATTAATTTTGCAAACATCAATATCATTTGACAAAAGGTAATATTAATCAAGCAACAATCACTTTTTTCTTTTTTTTGAATGGGGGCATCTACTAGTTGCCACTCTCGAAGAGGAGGCGCTTGGCAGAGTAACTAATCCCTCGACGGACTTAGTGGGAAGCAACCCCACAAGTGCTGGACCACACACTTAGTTTCTCCCAACTTAAAGAGTCGTGCCATTTGAGAGATGAATCAAACATGAATTGGGGGGTTCAACAGCGAGTATCATATCAGTGTTCTTGATTTGTTGGCGTAAGACGCACAAAATGATATTAATTGTTTAATTTGAAAGAACTTTTAGATTTCTTAAACGTGAGGACTCTCTCTACTAATGCTCGAAATTTTATTTGGTCCGGTAACCTGACGTAGCTCTACATTCGGTGAGCAGTAAACATGTGCCACGGCAACCCGACCCGGAGCGGACTCAGGGGTTTGCGTATTGCTCGGTATTGCTAGGTATTGGTCTATTTTGCTCAACAAAAATGAAAAATACCATTATGTGAAGACCAATATCGAGCAATACCGAGTTCTTTTAGGTATTACTCGGTATTGCTCGGTATTGGTCTTCACAGAGCGGTATTTCTCGTTATTGCCAAGCAATACCGAGTAATACCTAGCAATACAGAGCAATACGCGAACATAGTAATCCCGGATTCTGGTCCAAGTCGGGTCGTCGGACTGCGCGGTAAAGAGTAAGAGCACGTGGATACATATTATTGACTAACAGACGTAGAGCTACATCAGGTTACCTGACCTAATAATTTTTCCTAAAGCTCCTTCTCAATGGTAGAATAAAGAGCTGTTCATATAGTTTTTGTTGTATCATTTTTAATTATAGTTATCAAAATCTATCTCAAACACTCAATCAAGAATGACCACGTACTCTTAAAAAATTGATAATTTTTGAACATTTGTACACCTTGCTAACATCAAAATTGGTGAATCTTGAGTCCATCAAATTCATCTTACTGAGTTGCACCTTTAGATTATAACTTTACTAAAAATAAAATTCAAATAATCCTTAAATTAGACTTGAAAATTTTTTTTTTTCAGTATTTTTTAAATATTAAAATACGATGCACGGTGAAGAGCATGGCTGCTGGGTCAGCTGGTGGCCGGCGGTGGGGATGGGGCGGTTGGTGATGGCCGATCGGAGTTACCAGCGAGTGGGGCTTCAGGTAGCAACGACGGCAGAGGTGTACAGTGGCAGCAACCGGCGGCCGGCCATGGCGAGCAGCGACTCACGGTTATTATAGAAGGCAACGGTATTTGAGTATCATAAATATTATATATTTAGCTTACTTTACAATAAGCATTAAAAAATTAAAGAACTTTGTATTTATTTTATTTTATAATTTCCAAACTGCCTCTTTGACGAAATAAAAAAAAAATAGAGAGGGAGAGATAGATAGAGAAAGAGAGAGAGAGAGAGAGACTTTTGTCCGGATGTGATTGTAGTGGAGCGTAGTGGTTCCTTTTTCCGCGGCTTACCTGCCAATTTGCTGTCTGTCTTCAAACTTCAGGCAGCTTTTTGACCCAACGACGAGAGGCCCTATGTGACATTTTTTTGATGAAGGCATCTCTGGTTGCATCTGAGTGTCTATATTTTTGAAAAAAAAAAGCAACAAAAAAGGAAATTGCTTTCAATTTTATTACTTTTAAACCCATACTAAAAAAGAAAGCGTCGTCTTAAAATAAAGTTATCTAAAAAAATTAAATTTTTTTATTTATCTAATTATATCCATATATATGTATATTACCAATTGCAAACGTCCGATTAGACTTTTTTAATTTAAAAACTATGCACTATTAAAGAACTCATGGGCCATTAGTTAAATAATTTGAATCATATAATTCAAAATCTATTATTTATTGGTAATAGTTTAAAAATAAATAAATAAATAAATATGTACACATTTTCTTCGTAAATTTGAATCCAATTATTAGAAAACATACACATTTCAGATATATAAAATTACGTATTCATAAAAAAATAAGCATAAGAGAGCATAATCTATATCAATCACCTTGCAAATGAAAATATTAAAAGGGAGGTGGTAAATTTACTAATGCATACATTATGGCAAAAAGAAATTCTCCTTATGTTGAATGAAAAATATTATAATTATATTTTAGTCTGTAATATATGAAAAGTAAGCATAAATTTTAAATTATATTAGCATTTTCTATATGTTATAATAGAATATAAAGTGTTATCTTCTTACTGAAGAGAAAGTCGTAGTGAATGTAATAGACTAATTTATTATTTGGTTGATAATTAATGCTGAAAGTGATTTCTTGATAATATTAGATTTCGTTTGGGATAAATTTTGGCTGCTGTATTTTTTGTTGCTTTTAAGAAAATTTTACATAAAAAAACTTATTTAGAAATCAGTAAAAAATCTATCCTACATGAAACCTTAATTCTTGTTTATTTCACCTTTGATTTATGCTTCAAAGGAGAAGGGTTCTTCAAGCCCCATGTATGCAAAATCTTAATGTTTTGCATGTTAAGCTGCTCAAACTTGATTAATTGCTTAATTAATTATGCTGTGATTATAAACAACTTTTTGTATTTGATTCTTTAATGAAGTGAACACAAACAAT